AGCAATGCAAGCTTCTCCTATTTATTCCCTCTCATCACCTTTTTGTGGTTTCTAACTCTCTGAAACATTCAATTTTAGTTTCCATCCAAACACTATATCTATTGCTGTTCTCACTACTTGCATCTAGTCAAAGGAGCACTCAACATCAGTAGTTGCTCCCCTTCATTGCACAACTGAGAGGCATTGAATTCAAACTCAAAGAAAATTCTCTTACCTATCCTTTTTATCATGATGATGAGCTAAACCTTGAAAATGCTCATCAGTTAAAGGTACACATCAGTGTAGTCTAATAAACCTCTTCTGTTCTGTCTGTCCCCCTCCAAAAGGAAAACTAAGGATACTAACTGGACAGTTTCGTAGGTCTCCCATAGTGCTGGCATTCTGTAGTAGCTCTCCAAACATATCCGGAGTGGGTTTCTCTCGTCTCTCCAGCATACAAATAGCTTGATTGCTTCAGTATAGAGAAAGCATGGAAAACAAAAGTTTAATAATAAAATAAAACCGCAAGCCCACATTAAGTACATACAGGTTTCACTTAAATTTTATGAAAAGTTAAGAATCTTAAAATATACAACATTTTTTAATTTAATCTGTAGTACAGGAAAAAAACAATCACATAATTATGATAATAATTATAATAATACATAATGATACTCCATAAAGAAAACAAGTAAAACTTAAAATAGAAATAGTTTCTAGTTTGGCTTAAAATTTACATCTGAAAAGCAAACTTCAGCATTTTGATAAATACTTGACTGCACAATGAAATATTTGCTTCAAAATGCTTCCCTTCAGTAACCACAGCCCTAGTAAAGTAGCACAGTAAAGCACATCCTTATTAATAAAACTATAGAGAAAAAAATAGCACTGTACTCAATTGATTTCACTCTCCGAGTTGAAAGAAAGATGACATTAAGTACGCAAGAATACTAGTGCTCAAAGCATCCTCAAGCTTAAAATGGTTTAAGAGGTAAATGGTTTTAAAATTACGCATGACTTAAGATTTATTGAGATATTTCATATAAAATATTGAATACCATTTACATAACTCCTTTCCTGTTTTTCTAATAAATGATACTCTGATACACAATGTCTGCTGGTATCCTAAAGAAAAACTACAGCTCGATGGAATGGCAGGGAGACAGTACTCCCGATACACTGGTAAAGCGGTAGCTTTTAACAGAGATCTGCATGCGAAGTGCAACTGGCAGTTTTCAAGACAATTTTTTCAGGCTCTGTAACTACACATCTCTCATGCAGGACAAGAAACAAAGAGAAGTTTTCATCCCAAACAAAATTTCAAGACAGAAGCAAATAACAGACTCCTGCCTCAGTCAGATTTAAGCAGCTTTCAACTGAGCAGCCACCTACTAAAAGAACAGAAGACTTCCTTCCTCTAGCATTCATTCAAGTGAACTACTACAGAGGTAGAGCTATTGCTCTGTGCACCACCTCCTTTAATGAAAGGTCATGGTGACAAGGGGTGTTCCCCAATAACCAGAAAAATCAAGAGCTATATCCATCCAAGAAAGATAATTTGAGGAACTACAAGCTGGTCAGTCTCACTGCAGTACCCAGGGTGATGACAGATGAAATCCCCTTGGAAATCATCTCCAGGCATACGAAAGCGAGTTGGAGTAGCCAGCATGGATTTACCAAGGGCAAACTATGCCTGACCTACATGATTATCTCCTAGCGTAAAATGATGGTTCTGCCGAGAAGGCAAAAACAGTTAATATCATTTGGTCTCTAGCAAGGTTTTCAAGTCATCTACAGTGTTATTGTGGCCAAACTGGAAGTGTGGACTGCACAGGTAGAATATAATGCAGACAAAAACCTAGCTGGACCTTCAGGTTCAGAGGATCAAAACACAACCAGCAGTCAGAGCTGTGTTCCTCAGGGATTAATACTGGGGCTGATGCTATTTAACATTTTCATTAACAACCTGGATAATGAATCAGCATACACCCACATCAAGTTTACAGATGACACCAGACTGGATGGAGCAGTCACTATACAGAAAGGGAGTCCTGCCACTCAGAAGGGTCTTGACAGGTTGGAGGAACGAGTTGACAGGAACCTCGTGAAATTCAGTAGAGAAAAACACAAAGTCTTGCAGTTTGGACAGAGCCCAGTACTGGCTCAGCACTGAATAGCTGAGGAGCAACACCGCAGAAAGCTGCTAGACAAACTGAACACATGCCAGACTCTTTGCAGATGCGAATAGAAAAAAGACAAGAGGCAGAAGATGTAGAAAGGGAAATTCTGACTGGCTATAAGGAAAAAAAATTCACACTGAGTCGTTAAGCACTGGAACAGATAGCCCAGATAAGTCATGGAATTTCTATCCTTGAACGTTTTCAAAACTCTGTTACACAAAACCACAAGCAGCCTGATCTAGCTTCGAAGTTAGCCCTGCTTTGAACAGGAGGATGGAACAGATGACCAAAGGTCCTTTCCAGCATAAGAAAAATAAAAAATAATTTATCTTTTTTCTTAACTCACCTACTCACATATTAAGGTCTTTCAAAACGTACACGAGTCCTTGCCACTACAGTTGTCAGACTCAGAATCATAAACAGACACACTGATCCATGCCTAAATTGGTACCTTCCGCTCCACTAAATCTTTATCATAGTTATCAAAGCTCCACCAACTTTGAACAAACCATGCTCTGAACATTTAATCTTGTGAAGGTAAAGATCAAACCACAATACCAGTATAAAAAAACCAAACAAAACCACCAACAACAAAAAACCCAACCCGCCAAACCAGAGAAGTTGCCTGTAAAAATCTCAACTCACCAGAGTGAGGTTGTGGAAATATAATGTACCATCTGGATGAAAGGTAACGGGTCAGAGGTTGCACCACAGCTGGTACAAACACACTAAAGAGAAATAAAACATAATACATTGACAAGATTAAACAGGTATTTCCACAGTAACACTTCTGCTTGTATCTTTTTTACCACGGCAATGCATGCCTTTGGAACAAAAATTTGAAGCTTGAGAACTGGTGATTTGTATAAAGCACGTATCATTACATCACCTGTTCAAACAAGGTCATTGCAAACTTCTGATGGGAAACACAATGTGGTGCAGTGCAAATATCTTCCTTTGTCTCATCTGCAATGTGGAAGTGAATTCGCATTAACAGGTTTTCCTAGACAAAGAGAGAAGAAAAAGAAAAAAAAAAGCATTAGACCATTTAAAACTCAGACAAAAGTTAAAATATAAAAATCACAAAAGCACTGTCAGATGCAATAATGTTGTAAATATTATTTACAGAGACAGAAGGCTCCTGTAAATTTTTGGAAGTCGCTTAGAAAACAAAGAACTTGGCATTTATTCGAGATAAAAGAAAATGGCTACCAGTTCTGATTTGAAATGCTATGTCAGGTAACTATTTTATTTACTATCACAGCTGAAGATTCTGTCACCAATTACTCTGTCCCACCCTCAAGCATCAATGGATTTGACCAAATGTAACTGGCAGAGCAGTTATGCAGTTTTAAAATCATTAGGTTGCCACTAACAACTTCTCATCAGCACAAAGTAACCCAAATCAACTTCTATATTCCACCAGGGCTTTGAAATATGGCAAATCTACATTCTACCAAAAAGAGGAGAACTAATAAACAAAGAAGCAGACTAAATTCTGCATGAAACAAAAGCACTGAACATCTTCTAGACATTATTTCCGACAATTCTGTCTTTTTTCAACTTCCTAGGAGTTCTTGTCCTAACATCTCCTCTCCTCCCACTGTTGCGAACATCAGTCTGGGGGTGCCAAAAGCCTACTGATACCTCTTCCAGCAGCACGCTTTTCAACATCACTATGAGCTGGCTGGCTGGTTTATAGGCCTGCAATAAGCAGGTCAAGATTAATTATTAGGCAAAATAGCTCTGACCTCATACAACTTCCCTTGAACTTTAGAATCTAACCTCTTCTGCCATTTGAATTAAATCTCTGCCTTTAGGGCTGAAAAGGTTAACTAAGCGAAAAGCTAGGGAATTATCTCTGCCTTAAAGCCTAGTCTCAAAAGGGAACTTGTACCCATTTTAACTGTCCTTGTGTCAGCATGGTTAACCTAACAAACCTGCTTGTGGGGACTCCCATAGCAGTATTAGATGGGCTATTTAGATTAGCTTTCTCAAGGAAGAAACTAAATCAAGAGTTCCCATGTTCTACTACACGCAGAACTCCATTCAAGTGCTGGACTGCATACAACTATTTGACATAACCGCACTCACAGGGGCTCCTGTGTAGGCTGATGTAATTTATTTCACTGAGGCTTTTTTGGTATTATCTACTTCCATTTTAAATGAGCTCATTAAACCATACTACTTTGCTATATTCGTATTCTGAAAACACAGGATACATTGAGTTATCATAAGCCCATTATCAGTTCACTTAGTTTAAGAGAAGAACTACAATAGCTATACGCATTTATCCCATTTCTGTGATCTCTTACAGTGCAAGTGTTAAATTAGGGAGGTATAGGAAATGAAAGATTTAACATATGAAAAAGACTCCACTCTGATAGGTGCTTTATTGAAGAGACGATTTACCTTGCAGTAGTAAATCCAGTATGTTTGTACTTCGGTTAAGAATTAACATCTTTGTTAACAACCAAGTAGGACACGAACACAATTGGGCCACTCTATGGACACCATCATTTCCAAAAAGGGGAGCAGCCAACAGGTCGGCAAGATAAAAAATACCTCCTAATTAAGTTAAAGAAATTTAGGAGACTGAAGAGAGAAAGGGAGGAAATGTGGATAGGAATAAACTCTTAACATAATGGATGCCAAGTAAGAGTTTTGAGTATAAAAAGAAAGCAGGTGGGTAAAACTAGGGATGTAAGATTTGTGTAAAAGCCATCTCCCAACCACACTGGTGAGATAATCAGCTTAAAAAAATTGTCAGATGGTTTACAAATATGGTAACAGAAATATTTAGTGATGATCATTTTACTGTTGCTTATCTCAACTTAGAAACATAAACAACCATGTTGGGTTGTGTTTTGTTATTTATTTATTTTTACTTTCCCTTAGCTAGAGTTTGTGAAAACATGATTTCAGAATAACTGGTAAACAAAATGCCCTTCCACTTTTTTGAGGTGATCCTTAAAACTAAAATGCTGGATAACTCTTTCAATGCAATTTTTTTTTACAATTTACATCCAAGGCACACTTGAGAGTACAAGCAGTACATATGCAAAAGTAACTGTAAAAATGGGTAACACTGATGTTTCCATTTCGAAATCATTAGCAATGAGTCTCAAACCAAATACTGGTTTCCCACTGGATCACTTCAAGCTTGGGGATCTCTCTGTGGACTTTTCCAGGCCACACATGCAAGATCCATTGGAATTCGGGGAGGGGACAAATGAAGCAGGGGCAGGGGGGAAGCAGTTGTTTGTGTAGTGGGGGTTCACATCTCTCCCTGTCAAACCATCTTTCAATTATACTCACAAAACATTCAGCAGCATCATCCATGATGCCCAGCTGGAAGCGTTGCTCATCCTGAAATGTTTTTGCAAGCGCAGTGCGCAGGGCATCAGAAGGTAGTACCTTCTCACTGCTACATTGAAACTGGTTGAAGATACCCTAGTAAGAAAACACAAAAGATAAGTTACTGTATTTGCAAAACATGACTCAAGTTATCTGAAAACAAATGGCAAACCTTTATCTCACTTTGATCAAGCGACACACAGATATTTATAGTGCACAGGGACTAGAAGAGAAAATCCTAAAAGTTTCTCCTTTGAAATCATGTTCCCCTTTGTTTATTCTCTCCTTTCACATATCCAACAGAGCGTGGGGAGCTTAAGGCTAAACTTCCCCCTGTGTCAATCCCCTTTGGATCTTCCTCCAAATTTGATTCCTGAAGCAAATAAAATGGACACTAAAACTTCCTCACTTTTTATTTCTATTTCTCCCTCTCCAGTTCACTTCTTCACTCCTACCTCAGTAGCTTTCTTCTTCCGCATGCTGCCTTCTTTCCTCTTTCAAGCAACTCTTTCCAAAAGTCTTAGCCCTTAAACAGCCACAACCTGCTGCTTGCACTCTTTAAGGAATTTACCTTTCAGTAAGTCCAAGAAGAAGGTAAGAACCAGATGATTTTTGGGTCAGCATGCAGGAGAGAAAAGGCACGACACAAATAGCAGTTCCGATGTACGGTCAGCTGTTTACTTTTTGCCATAAATCTGCATTTTCATAACTAACTCACAGGTCATCTGGGTCATCATTTGCAAGGACAAGTAATTCTGTAAAGATGCATTATTGTACGAAGTGTGGGTTATATGCATGCAAGTTCAGTAGGTATTCCCAACTGATCAAAACCCCACTTTTATTTTGTGTGCTCATGCACACGTGTGAGATATCCAGAAGACCTTCTGAACAGTTATTTAACTTTCTTTGTGCCCTCCCACAAAAACAGGAATATAATTTTGTAGGCAAGATCCTCAGTTTAAGTAAAAACTTTCAGCCCTTATTTTCATGCAAGATCATTCTGTCTCCATCACCACTCTGCTCTACTTTCTACCTCATTTCATATGACAAGCAAATATCTTCATCAGTATCAATTTCAAAATTCTGCTTGTCTTCTCCTATAAAACTTTCCTCACAATTTCCCTAAAGATTGCAGAAAAGCTCCATTCTGAATGTGAGAGGAAAAAAGGATCATCTTCAACTGTGCACCACTTGGCTTTTCTGCATTTTAAACTTCACCAAATCAGGAGAAAGCAAGCCTCAAACTGGTTTGCCTGTTTGGTTTTCTTTCAAATCTATACTGAGAATCTGCAGCAATATTGATTCATGTATCACTTGCTCCCTTAATTACAGAAAGCTTCTACCCAGTATACTTCAGTTCTGTATTAATTGGAAAGAAATAATCTGAATCTTTGTCTCCTTTAACTATTCTTATTTGTTTCTCATCAGGAAATGAAAAGGTAAACTGGGAGGTTTGCCAAACCGTGCAATCTCAGCTGCTTTGAAGAAGCTCAACGAGTGCAGAATACAGCTGTCACTGCACAGCCAGCAAACCATGCTCTGTGCCGCTGCCATTTCTGGCCATAGGAATGGTACAATTCATAGTGTTAACGTATTATCTAATATAGATGCAAGATGCCCATCTCTCTACTGCTATATTTGTTTTGGTAGTCTCTATGGTGCTCATTCATGGGTGAGGGCCCACTGTGCTGATGTCCATAGCTCTTCTAATATTGCCTTTATTAGAGTACCAAATAATGAGGAGGAAAGTGGTAATCCAGAGAAGGCTGTGAGGCAGTAAGTCTCACACTTCATGAATGACAGACAATGCCTCTCCTCAGTTATCTTTTATATATACATACACAAAAATGGAAAGAATGACAAAGTCTCTTTACTTGAGAGAACTGAGGAACCTTGATCCTCATTCCTGTCTGATAACTGAGCAAGTTTCATGTTTCATTAGTAAATTTTCTCATTTCAGTGCACCTCAAAAAAAAAACCCCACAACAGTGAAACATAATTCCATCCTGCTTCACCACTCTAGATTAAATAATTGAAAAGCACTTGAAAAATACTCATGATTACGCTTTAGAAATGTGTTTATTCTGGTTATCATCAATCTCACTTTATAGATCTGGAAACTGAGGCACTTGCCTAGCAACTGACCCACAACCTCACTGCAGGGAACTGATGGACAGGACCAGGTTTGCTTCAATGAGAGCTCTGAAATGGCTCTGCACTCTTTGGGTAGGGGAGGAGAGAATCAGTGCAGGCTTCAAACTAGGTAAAAGTAGAAGCAAGCAAACCAATCAAAACTCTTATTTTTAATTTCCATCTTTAAAGAAATAGTACACTTTACTTTTACCTGTAACGTACCTACTACTTAACATAAAGAGATCTAGCAAGGAAAAAGTAATCCTGATGATTATATGCAATTGATTTTCACAAGTTCCTGCATTTTATATTTTTGTGCATCACAAAATAATTACAGCTTTCACAATTGAAACTAAAAAACTTTTATTAAACATAAACAGCAGAAAACTGAAATCTGTTACCACAACTACAGAACAAAAATAACTGAGTAACATCAAAGAATTCTAGTATGTAAAATCAGGAAGTCAGAGATCCCAATATTATATAGAGTAATGCTTCTTAAAATTTGTAACGATATAGCACACAATGGTATAGCCTTATTCAGATTATGAGAAAAAAAGTCTTAAAACCAGTGAGTAATTGTGTATTTTAATATAATAAAGATGAAATCTTATGTCATTGCACAGTGCAGTTTAGAACATGTTGGAACACAGTGCTTCTAGGAAGTCCCAAAAGCACCTCAAATGGAGTCAAAAGCACTTTGAACACAGGGCAGTTTGGTTTTCACTGGGTTTGGGGTTCGTTTCCTCTTTTCCTTATTCTTCAAGATACGTTCTTTGCTCACCTTCAGAACTGGTCTTTCTCGTATCTCAGCCTTAGATGTACAGGTGTGGCATTTCCTGCAGTTTCATCACCTTAAGTTATCTAAGTTAAATCTCTCTTTTTAATTTCAGGTCTTGCCCTTGAGTGATACTGTTAATCACTAACACATTTGTTCCACATACAGGTCTGAAAGCCAGCTGGGTGCAGACCAGGAAAGCACTGCTGATTCTGCCCCAGGAGTTTTCATGACACCTTTTCTCCGAGTGCTTCTGGAACTGAATGAGATCTTTATATATGAAACACTCAAACTTTGTTCTCTTTCAAAAACTTCTTTACCTGAATTTGAAGACAGTGAAAACCCCATTAGTGTATTCACCACACTGATGATTTCTCTAAATGGCTACATTCCAACACAAATAAGCATATCCCTAACAGCAGCAACAGTATGAAAAGACACTGCTAAAAGCTTAATGAACAAGGGAAGTCTCTCCTATTTTACTAGTTTTCAGTAACTGAAATCAAGCATGCAGAACCAAATAAGAAAAAAATAAAATTAGCTTAACATAAAATCTGAGCAATTACTAATATTATATTAGCAGCAGTACTTCGATTTCTACACTGATGACCTATTCTTGGCATGCTGGTAAGTCTACAAGTCAAGACAGAACAGCATGAGCAAGGGCTTTTTCAGACAGGAAGTACGCGCCTTCTGGTTACACTGCATTCCTGAAGTCTATATAAAAAAGAATCTTATCTCCCTCCA